CACTCCTCGGAAGGAAGGTTGGACAATCTACTTCCGCAGTGATAGTGCCTCAGAAACCCAAGGAGGGGTCGCTATGAGTCGGATCCGACTCCATGGCAGTGGTTGCTTTGTTTTTGTGCACCTCTGGTAAGGAGTTCTGATAGCAGTGGGTAAGGCATTTGGCTGCTAACCAGGGGTTAGCAGTTCAAACCCACCGGCTGCTCCTTGGGAGGAAAATGAGGCAATCTACTTCCATAAAGATTTACAGCCTTGGAAACCCAACAGATGTCACTGTGAGTAGGAATGCACTCTATGGGAGTTGGTTTGGTCTGTGTTTTTATACCTGTGGTAGGAATCTCATTTGTGAATGGGATTTCTTTGTTATGTTAATTAGGAAACATTAATGCAGGGTGTGTCTTAAGTGGATCTCTTTTGAGATGCGTAAGTACAGATTGAAGAAGTAACTAAAGAGGAGAAAGCCTCCCCTTAGAGCTGGCACCCTGAATTCAGACTCCTAAGCTGCGAGAAAATAAATTTCTGCTTGTTACTGCCTTCCATAGGAGCTCTGGTGGCGTAGTGCTTAAGGCACTTGACTGCTAACCAGAAGGCTGGCGGTTCAAATCCACCAGCCACTCCTCAGAAGGAAAGTTGAGTGATCTATTCCAGAGTGATACGGCCTCAGAAACCCAAGGAGGGGTCATTATAAGTCGGACCATACTTGATGGCAGTGGGACAGACTTCCACCAGTGGTAATTTTGTTATAGCAGCATTAGATAACTAAGAAACTCCTCACCATGTAGCAAAAAAGGGTTGCTTTTGATTACTAACCTAAAGGGAGCTCTGGTGGCATAGTGCCTATGGCATTTGACTGCTAACCAGAAGGCTGACAGTTCAAACTCACCAGCCACTCCTCAGAAGGAAGGTTGGGCAATCTACTTCCGTAGTGATACCACCTTGGAAACCCAAGGAGGGGGAGGGGTCAATATGAGTTGAATTTTTTTTTTTTTTTGAACTAACCTAAAGGATGGCTGAGCTAACCCACCTATTGACAATGTGGAAGAAAGGCCTGGCAATCTGTTTCTGTAGCGATTACGGCCAAGAAAACCCTCTGGGGCAATTTTGCTCTGTAACACATGGGGTGGTACTGAGCTAAAATCGACTCAACGGCAACAGGTTAATGTAAAATATGACTTAGCTTTTCCTCCTAAGCAATATTTTGCCTGATGTGGCTTTCTTTGTCCTAGAGCACTGCATATCCTCTGACACAGACTGGAGAAAACAAAACAAAAAATTCTCAGAGAGGTGGATGGTGTTGTGTGGTGTCAATTCTGGTTAGCAGTCAAATGCCTTAGGCACTATGCCACCAGAGCTCCTAAAATAATCATGTTGTTGTTGTTGTCACATGCCGTCAAGTTGGTCCCGACTCATAGCGACCCCTCCTTGGGTTTTCAAGGCGGTGTCACTACAGAAGTAGATTGCCCAACCTTCCTTCTGAGGAGTGGCTGGTGG